TACATTGTGCTAATAAAAGAAAGATAAAACGTTTCATGATTGCATTTTATCATTGCATTATAAATCCTAATCCCCATGTGAATAAATCTATGGTGTAAATACGCATGATAATATTCACTGTGGTGGCATAAAAAATTAAAAATACCATACATACATATTTTCTGTTCTGCATATCATAAAATTAGAAAATCCAAAATATATTAGGTAAATATACTGCTAAAATTCTACCAATACAAAAATATTTCTAACCCTCAAGAACAACTAATCTCTGGATGGCTGACCGCTAATCCTTTATCCTAAGTCTAGATATTCTACCAATACAAAAATATTTCTAACCCTCAAGAACAACTAATCTCTGGATTGTATTCTTGTTGGTATTTTGCAGGATGATGCACAAAGATCAAGAGCAAGTTCACCCAGTCATCTTCTTCTCATTCCATCCTAGGACGAGAAGGGCATCCGCTGGGAAATCTGCTCTAAGAAGGATCACTCAACTTCAACATTCGACCACGCTAACATCCTTCTTGGGGGAAAGGCATCCCCTTATATCTAGCTAAGTATTCTTTTCATTTTGTTATTCTTAAGTTTGCTCTACATTTGCTAAAAAAAGATGATGCCTAACTAAAAGCAAAATAAATCTTTGTCTTATAGTAAGGTGTGATCTAAAAAAATGAGAAAACAAAATAAAAGGTGTGTCTAGATTTTTAAGAGCTAAATAAATGGACTATGAGGATAATGTCCTATAATGGAAATGATAAATAGTTGCTCTGTTGTAATTCCTTTCATGTACTTAGTTTTTAGTCTTGAATTCGCCCGAGTTTTGAATAAGACTGGTTCGATATAAGGATTTACTCTGAACTTAAAACTTGTGCGTAGCATATATTTGATCTAAGTCTAGGTAATTGACGGATATGATATGAGAAGGTTTGAGCTGTTGTTTATCTTATTCCATGTGATACTTAAATTTTGGAGATTTATCATTTGAAAAAACATAAAAAATGCTTCATGATGAGTTCCTGTATGACAAAGCTCGAATTCCTACCAGAGCCAAATATGATATTTAGATTAGAAAAACTTCCACATATATGCTACTTGTTTTGTATTGAGTTTAATCAAGCTTTGTTGACCCTTATGAGAGGTTTGCCATGCTATTAAAATCAAGATCATGTACACACCACCCACATATTCATCTAGATCCACCCAAAAATGTTTTACTCTTACACTAGGAGTAAACACAAAAACATGCATGATAGGATTATCCACCAAATAAATGCTCCAAGTTCTTGTTATCTCTCAAAAGTTTTGTTGCAGAAAAGAGACATGGGGCTATGCAAAAGTTATTCATAATAATAATAAAAGAGAGAGAGAGATGAGAAAAAATGGACAAGTGTCCAAGATATTGAAAACAATGAGTATTTAGATGCCCGCTTGAAAAAAGAAAGAGAAATGAATAAAATAGCCATTGTTTTCTTGCAAAGTATTTCCAAGTTTCAAAAGAGAGATATCTTTTCAAGGAGAATAGTAGAATTAGGTTAGCCACCATAAACAACCACCATACATTCATACACATGCACATCTTGATTTGATTATATGACTCAACTCTCTTTGGATCCGATATTTGACTTTACAATATATGTATTACAAGTATGCTCTTTCATGTTTTTTTACTCCTATGAGCTCCACATAAGCCTTAGTTGTAGGAAGAGAAAGGCATAGCATCATTATTGCCTTGGTAAGGATCCATAAATACTACATATATTGAGAGACTTGAGAGTGTCATACAATGAAAGCTCTGAGTTTTATTTTGAAAATCTATAAAAACTCCAGAATAATGGTTGAGCAAAGAACTTGAGGCATAGTGCTTGACTTGATTGTTCTATCTTTCAATTGCCTAAGACCCAAGTGAAGGCTAAGAAGCCCCATGGTTGAAGGTAATATGGGTAAGTTTGAAAGTCAGATCGGTTTATTCTAATCCGGTGGAGAATTCTTGTTTGAACGCATGTGTACTTTTGAGGAGTAAAAATATCGAAGCAACTCCTGATCCATTTACTGAGTTTAGCTTTACTAAGGGACTAGCAAAGGTTAAGCTTGGGGGAGTTTGTTGATGGTAGATAACAAACATTATAAACCATCAATATAACTTGTATAAGGGCATAAATATGATCACCAACAAAGGTTTAGGGGTTTAAACTAACAAATTCCACAAGTTTTGGTGAATCTGTATTTTTTATAGGGTTTATCCTAAAAACTGTCAAGGTGGACCTAAATGTCAGAATTAATCATGATTATCCACAGGATAAACAACTCTACAAGGTTCCATAGAACACTAAAGGACACAACACCGAAGCGGAGGGCGAGAGGCCACCAGGTGGGGCTAGCCGGTCCCACCCTCAGGCCAGCCGGTTTGGGGCTCCATCTGTCATCCTCCATCTCACTACGTCGGCTCTCCACCGCCTTAAGGATTGCATCTACGTTGTTTATTCAAGTCGGTTTGATCCAAGGGCTCAGGATTGATGCTCTGGCCTATATATACCAGCCCCTGCCACCCCCCCATGAGGAATAAGTCATTTGAGAAGACAGAAACCCTAATCATCCTTAGAGCTCCATTATATTCTAGGGCATAGCTAGTTAGGCTAGGTCTAGAGAGAGGCAAGCAGGTTTTACTTGGATTCCCAATCTTGTCAAGTGTGTGGTTTGGTATAATCTTTATACCCCTCTCTTTTGTATCTCTCATTACTTTTATATGTTTGCTACAATTGTTATGACATTATTATTCGTATCGTTTATGTTCTAATTATCACGTTCATCGTCTACTTTGATTATATGCTTAGTATAGTTGGATTATCAACATATTCATGCATATGTTCGTATAGCGCTTGCTCTGTTGTACACGGGGTGAGTGGACGACATTGTGTAAGTGTAGTGCTTATAGGTTGTTTACCTGCGGATACACCATATATTCCGGGTCATGTGGTAGATCACGGATGTGACACTCTCGTTGAGTTCTTTATAGTCCACTCCCCGAATATAGGACAAGTAGGATCTAGTTACGAAGGAAGACAAGCTCTGTTCTTAATCTTCCTTAGTAATATCCCTTATGTGTAGATATGAAGTTGATCTTAGCCATGATTACTAAGTATAATTGTACTAATCAATGTATCCTTTGACTTGTAATTAAGAATGACTTAGAAATTATTCCTCTAATATTCTACTTACACTACAAGGTTTTTACCCCTAATCCAACCACTTGTATTCGCAACACCACAAATTTAGTCACAATAGGAGGCTCTATTGCAACATGGACTATAATTGGTTGCGATATGTGACACTTATTGCATCTAAATTATTGGGTTGTGTTAGTCCTAACCTTCGTCGCGACAGGTAGGTGTTATGGCCACGATTAAACTGTGGTTGCAAGTGCGTCTAAATATTGCAACAAATTAAGTTACGTTGTGTTAGTAATAAATTTCCATTGCGATAACTCGTCATTGTAGCCACCATTCGAATAGTTGTTGCGAGTAGTTTTCAATATCGCCATGAAATAAGTGTGTTGCCTTAATATTGGCCTGCGTTGCAAAAAGTCGCGCTATATTGCATCGAAAAATGGTTCGTTGCATGGCATAATGTTATATTGCTACTCATAACATACGTTGCAATACATTTGGTTGCAAATTATTAGTCATATTGCTACACAAATTTGTTGGTTGCCCAAACTACTCTGACACATCGCCAAAGGCTTCGAACGCATGGGCCAAAGTCAAAGGTTTCCTACACCGAACGACCAAAAAAACTAGGCACATTGCTGGCATTGCTAAAAAAATGCATCGCCGCAAATCCCCGCCGCCCGATAAACCCTACAGCAGCAGCTGCCGCCACCGTCACCGCCCTTCAAACATCCTTTGCTACCAAACTAGTGTTGGAAGATCATGTTCATGCCTCCCCCCGCTACTTGTTCTTGTGGCCCTTCATGCCCTCTGTCGGTGGCGCCGCAAGACCACGGATTTCTTCTCCACATCCAATAAGTTTGTTCGGTAGTGACATCATGTTGTTTGTTGTAAATCACTCGGTCAGGCAGAGCTATAGCTGCCGAAGTGGGTTGTGGCCCCTCCTTCCAGGGGATTCCCCTCACCACTCTCGTGACTTTTGTGCTTGGCAGCCTCGTGACTTTTGTGCTTGACATTTACAAATAGTTTACGGTTTTGCGCTTGGATTCCCCTCTCCAGACTCCCTAGAGGCGACGGCGACGGTGTCGAGACCCATCAAATTTCATATGTCCATGAATTTTATTCGAGTTAATGTTCCTCATGTAAATGATCCTGGAGACTCATGATGTAAATGATCCTGCCCAGAACTAACAAAGTGCAAACTCTATTTCAAAAAGTACTACTAGCACTAAGATGGCAGGAACATGTGCATATATACACAACTATTTGTATAGCATAAATATCTTATTTCGTTTGAGAACAAGCAGCAGCTGTAGAACTAAGCATTTGGCTATAGCCATCAGAAGAATGCTTAAGAATTTCCTAGATCACAAAATTTTGTCATGCTGCTGCCGAAGAAGCCACAATCGTCTATGCAGAGAATTGGGGCCTTAGGAGCATGGACTCCAGTGTCCTCACACTCTTGTTTCTAGCTCTCTTGTGCCACCGCTACCAATAGGCTGCAGGGACACAAGTTCACAATTCATTAAAAGGCAAATAAGAACACAAAATCAGTAAGTGGGACAAAAAGACAGAAATACATGATTCAGGTTCAGAAAGAAATATAACCCAATGTCCAACAGTTGGAAGTAATTAACACATACCACCAGGTTGCATATTAAGCAGCAATACCAGTATAAGCAGCAGCCAAGAAGCAGAACAAGCAGCAGCATATGCACAGCTACCAAGGAAGCCATTTCAATCCAAAATATTTTTTTGTTCGGCACACATAGCTATTTGTCCAGCATATAAATTAAAGCCTATTACAAAACAAGGTGGTGCTTCCTAAATTCATATTTATACAAAGAATTCATCATCAAGACTGGTGCCTAAAGAGTTGACAGGTGCTACATATCCATCATCAACGTAGGTGTCATCAGTATCATCATCTTCATCAACTAAGTCTTCATCACATGGTTCAGGCACTCGTAGCGCATTTTCAATGACGGCTGCATCTCCAGTCACCCCTTCTAGGTCAGTCCTCCTCCAAGATAACAAATCTTCATTCTGGCTTGAAATATTCATGGCTTCCACTCCCACCTCCAGTGAGTCAATATCAAGTTGTCCCTCATTTTTAGTGTCTAGTGGTTCAGGCATGGAAAACAAATTTCTAGGCTTCATTCTTACAACAGTGCTCCACTCTGATTTCTTTGCACCTTTCACATAAAAAAACCTGCTCAGCTTGAGTCCCCAGGATGTAAGGATCATTTAGATACCAAAAACGAGTTGTATCGACATCTATAATCCCATATTGATCCCTACGGTACCCTCTGCTCTTGTTCTTACTAGGCGCAGGTACATCGTACCAATCACACTGAAATAGTACGACTTCTTTTTCACCAGGGATATCAAGTGTTAATATCTTTTTAATGACACCATACCACTCCATACTTGCAGAACTATCAGCACCCTTAACTGCAACCCCTGAATTTTGTGTATTCAAGGCACTCTCTACAGAAGCTGTTCAAAAAAAGAAACCGTTGATGACGGACCTGTTGAAAACATGAACCTGGGGATCTGGTCCTCGAGAAAGGGCATATAGTGTATCACTAATCCCCCCTTCTTCATAAAGTTCATTCATCTGCAATCGATTTGAAAACAACAAAATAAATAAAGACAATAGCTATTTTCTATAAGCATCCAGTTGACAAAGTTACTCACCTTACGTTCAAACCAACCAACAAATTGATCCATGTGACGTCTCTCAACGCCGTGTGTAGTAATCTTTTTGAGTTCCTCCTTATGCAAACTACATACAATCAAAACAAAGGTACTCAATTAGAAAAACATTAATCATGAGGAACATTAAACACACACCAGTTGTAATTTCAACTTACTCAATCCATGGAGCAGCCTCATCACAGTTTGTTATTATGTAGTGTTGCATCTGCTTCAACTCTAAACTAGGAATAGTCTCAACTTTGCAACCTTTCTTACTGTAGTCAATGGTCTGAAATACGCTAAGCCCAGACAGTGATTCATTCACTGCACTGGTTTCATGATGCTCGGGGCGGTTCAGCTTCGTATCAATATCTTCTAGGAACCGAGAACAAAATGTCATGCACTCCTCAGCAATATATCCCTCTCCTATAGAACCTTCAGGTTGTGCTTTGTTCCTCACATATCCTTTCAACGTTCGTAGATATCTCTCGACAGGAAACATCCATCTATAACACACAGGTCCTCCAATTCTAGCCTCCTCAGTTAAATGAACTGGCAAATGCATCATAATATCAAAAAATGTTGGTGGAAATAACATCTCTAGCCGACATAAAGTCTCTCCAATTGAAGAGGTTAGTTTTTCAAGGTCACTTTCCACCAGTTCCTTTGAACATAATGAACTGAAGAATCTACTTAGCTGAATCAATGGGATAACATCTTGAGGCAATATGTCACGTACTACTAGTGGTAATAGTTTCTGTAATATAACATGATAGTCATGAGTCTTCAGTCCAGAAACCTTACATCCCTTGACGTCCATGCATCTCTTTATATTTGCTGCAAAACCATCAGGCATCCTCACTCCTTGTAGGAATTTGCATAACATTTCCTTCTCATCCTTGCCTAAGCTGTACAACGCTGGCGGCAAAGTATACTTGCCATTCTCCACCTTAGGATGTTGATCCTTCCTGATCCCAAGATTCTGTAAGTCAAGCCGAGCCTTCTCACCATCCTTACATTTACCATCAATGCCAAGCAATGTCCCCAATATGCTCTCACCAATGTTCTTCTCGATGTGCATGACATCCAAATTATGCCTAATAAGCAATTTTTCCCAATACGATAGTTGGAAGAATACACTCTTCTTTCTCCAATTGTGCCACCTAGTTTCTTCTTCACACTGCTTCCTCTTCCTTGTGCCTTGCCCAAATTTTGGTTGCTCAAAACTGTCATACTGCTGCAGAACCTCTTCACCAGTGAGCGGCACCGGAGCCTCCCTTGTTTCTACATTGTTGTTGAAGCTACTTTTATTCCTGCGCCATCTATGGTTCTGTGGCAAAAAGCGACGATGACCCAGGTAGCAATGCTTGCACCCAAATTTCAACCATAAGTACTCTGTAAACTTATGACAGTAAGAACATGCAAACTTGTCTTTAGTACTCCAACCAGACAGCATGGCATATGCAGGGAAATCATTTATGGTCCATAGTAGTACTGCACATAAAGTAAAAATTTTCCTAACTTTTGCATCCCATGTGAGCACACCCTTTTCCCAAAGATCCTTTAGCTCATCGATCAATGGCTGCAAATAAACATCGATGTTCATTCTAGGAGATTTGGGCCCTGGTATCAGCATTGACATCATCCAATACAATTGTTTTAAACACAACCAAGGAGGCAAGTTATAAGGGATTATGATGACAGGCCAAGTAGTGTATGTAACATTTAACATCCCAAACGGATTGAAGCCATCAGAGGCAAGTCCAAGCCTTACATTACGAGGGTGAGATGCAAATTCCTCCTCTAGGGCATCCAAATGCTTCCATGCCAACGAGTCCACAGGCTGACGCATTTTCCCATCACGCATCAGTCCTTCCTTATGCCAACGCATAAGTGTTGATGTCGACTCCCTCATAAACAATCTTTGCAGCCGAGGAGTAAGTGGGAAATACCACAAGATCTTACGTGGAAAATGCTTTTGTCCGCCACAAGTGCTAGAGGACTCAGCATCTTCAGAAGAATCGGTCCCTTTCCACCTAGACTGACCACAGGTTGGACATGTATCCAAGTCAGCATAATCCCCATGAAATAACACACAATCGTTCACACATGCATGAATCTTTTGGTAGTTAAGTCCAAGATCTGGAACAACCTTACGCACTTTATCCAAGGTGTCTGGGATTTCAGGGTGGAACAACGCGAACAGATCAAGGATCGACTGTATTCCATTGTTACTAAAACCATGCATACACTTCATCTGATAGATCCTGATAATGAAAGAAACCTTTGTAGCCTCCTTGCAGCCTGGATACAGTTCCTTTTGTGCCTCGGTTAATAACTTAAAAAAATTCTTTGCACTCTCATTTGGCTCTTCATCTCCACTTCCTGTGAGTTCACCATGTATAGCTCCTCTGATTAGTGCAGAAATCAGTTCTTTGCTAGCAGGCGCATCACCTGTTTCACCATCATCATATTCTCCTTCAGCAGGGTTATCCTCCTGAGGACATGCAACTAAATCTTTAGCATTACCTTCTTCGATGAAACTTTCATCGAACCCTCTAAGTACCAAATGACATTGAACATCTTTTTTATTTCTGTAGGACATGCAACGGCAATGAGCACAAGAACATGGAGCAGTTCCTTCTTTAGATGTGCCTCCAAAGGTATTCTGAATGAAGTCCTTAAATCCTTTTTGCCATTCAGCAGTATACTTCGCCATGCGCATCCAGCTCCTATCTTCAATCGACATGCTGCTGCCATGCCTCCTGGAAAACAGCCCACCGACTCTTCACCACAGACCCAGCCTTCCCAACAACACCAACTATATTATCCAATTACCCTGCCTGCTTCAGCTTGACACCTGCATTAAATCAGGACAGTAAGGTTATTTTGTAATGATAAATGCTCTTTGCTAGAAAAAGTAGGTGACTTGATATTTTAGTTTAATAATTGCTTCAAAGAATGCTATACATGTAGGTAAAGAGCATATCTAGAAGGGATGCCTGGAATTAATCCAACGTGGGTTTTCTACGAGCACTTCCATACGAAAGTTACTGGAGTTGATGATAAGAGAGAATTGAGGCTACGAGAACATCTCAATCTCACCTTTTTGGACCGGAGCTAAACGAGGGACTCAAGTTTAGTTGGGCAGTATGGATGTAAATATTTCATGACAAAACAATTTGAAGAAATGATTACATGAAGTAGGAATATTCGTAAAGAAAACAGTGGCGGAGCTCACAACAAATTATAGGGGGGGCGTGCATCTTATCAACATGTACAATCATATTTTCACTAGATATAATACAACATCCTAATCGATTCAGCATTTAGAAATTGGGAAACTCAGAAGCAAATAAAAAAATAACTACAAAACAAGCAAACTAAATTAGCACTGACGGACTCAAAACAAGCAAACTAAATTAGCAGTCACGGACTCACCAGGATGGATCCTATTGGCTCATTGGCAGACTGGGGATTTCAGATTGGACTGGAGAGGAGCAGCGGACTAGCGGAGAGACCCAAGCCTGGCAACCAGCGACGACGCCGACGCCAACGCAGCACGGCCGTGCGGGCACGTAGATGCTGAGACGCAGGTACACGGCCGGTGGCTCCGGACACCAGATGATGGACGAGACCGTCGAGCGGACCGACCGTAGGTGCAGGGCGGCGGCCGGTGGGGGCGACGCGACGGCCGATTCCACAACTGCGTGAGGTGTAGGCGCCGCCACAATAGACGAGCTGGTTTTGCTGTGGTGAAGATGGGCCGGCCCGTTTTGCTGGTTACTCCAATCTCTTGACGGATGCGTGCACGATTTAGTAGCACCTTGCTAACTCAAGTGCGACTAGCACAGCTTAAAGATTTGAGTCCCTAAAATACAGACGATACTGGCATACACTCAGCACGCTATTAGACAAACTTGGCTCGACGGGGGCTCCCTTTGGGTTGATCCTGACCGGGTCTTAGGCTTAATTTTTTTTACAAACCTTTGTTTTTTTACAATCTCATTATTAATGTATAACGCCCATTCTTTTTTATGTATATTTTTGCAAAATAATTATTTAAGTACACATTATCTTCACATTCTTTTTATGTATTTTTTTGCAAAATAATTATTTATGTCAAAAATATTTGCCCAACCTATATATCTCAAACTTAGTTCATCATCTCCTACTGAGTTGCCACGTCATCTTCGTGTCTGAGTGCCATGTCATGTCCCACTTGCCATTTCTTCGTGACCCACTACCTTGTTATTGCCCAATATCTTGCGCTAGCTAGGTACGACCAACATCTTCAGCCTTTGGTTGGGTTGATCATCATGTCCTGCTGAGTTGCTATGTCATCTTCGCCTGAGTGCCACGTCATGTTCTACTTGTCAGATCTTCATGACCTACTACCTTGTTGTCGGTGTTTTGAGTTACCACCGACGAGTAAATTTATAGTATTGCGTGTCTGGCTCGGATGGTGTGCTTAGAGGACACGAGGTTTATACTGGTTCTGGCAGAAAGTTCCTACATCCAGTTCGTCGCTGCTGCTCATGTTACTAACACTGAAAGTTTATAGTAGGGGTTACAAACAGGCGAGAGAGGGACATGTCCCAAGTCTCTAGTGAAAGGAGTGAAAGGGTGCTGAGAGCTCAGTTGCTGCTCTTGTGTTTATCTGGATCTGATCGGTTCGGGGTCGGATCGGATCCCCTTCATGGGACGCCCTGCTTTCCCTTTTATAGGCCAAGGGAAAAGCACGGGTTACAGCAGAGAAAAAGAGAAGAACGAGAGAGATGGGTCCTTCAGGATCGCCAGACCCTTCTTATCCTTCATGCGGGTCCCGCCGATACTGTAGATGTCAACAAGGACAGCTCCACATCGCGGTCCTATCCGTCACTGGCGCCATGCGCAGGCGTCGTCTGCCGATCATGGCGTTCCATTCCGTCGCAGCGAACGTCGTGGTGAGCTGACGCGCCTGTCAGCGTCCATACGGGGGTTAGGCGGAACAGCACTGGTACGCCCGACGAAGTTCCTGATGTGAATCCTTCGGTATGGCCCATCATGGCCATGGGTTACATCAGGGCGTGTCGGTATCTTCCTTGGTCTCAGAGTTTTGACTGAGGCCCATACGCTTGGACCTGGAGTGGTTGGCGGTGGTATGGGTCTCCGTCGGGCGAGATAGAGCCCGCGACCTCGGGGTCGGGCGAGGCAGAGCCCACCCCTAGAGGTCGGGCGAGGCGGAACACGAACCCAATGGTCGGGCGAGGTGGAGCCCGTGGCCTTGGGGTCGAGCGAGGAGGAGCCTGCCCCCAGAGGTCGGGCGAGGCGGAGAGCAAACCTAAGGGTCGAGCGAGGTGGAGCCCACGGCCTCAGGGTCGGGCGAGGCGGAGCGCAAACCCAATGGTCGGGCGAGGCAGAGCCCACCCCCAGAGGTCGGGCGAGGCGGAGCTTGTGCGCCTGGGGGTCGATTGGAGCTGTAGTCGCGCTCTTGACTGCTCGGATGAATCAATGTTGATGGTCATTAGCTCCTCCTCTTTAGGTACCCTAGTGTTGGTCCCTAACAGTAGCCCCTGAACCTGCGAAGGAGTAGAATACTCCTTCAGAGGCTTTTCCGAACAGGAGGACTCTGAGGGCCTTAGCCTTCTTTTGTCGCCCACGGCGTGACCTGGGGACGGTGATTCCCTTTCGTCGTGATCGGACCCCTCAGGTGTATAGCTGTGAGATTTGGTGGGTCGGAAAAGGCCTTTTCCTAATTTTGACTCCTACAGGGGTCTATCGTTCTGCGACCATGCGTTCGGTCTTCGTGCGAGTCCAACTTTCCTCGAGCCCTTGCCCGTAGCAGGGGTTCGATTGAGGGCCGGATCGTCTTTATGATCGTCTTCCCTCAAGCCTTTTTTCTGATAAAAATGGAGGGGCTGAGCCATGCCATGATTTTCCTCAATGGACGAATCATGATGCTCGATGAGCTGTTAACGGGCTAGTCCGAGTGGGGCCCCGACATCCCGTTCATGGGGATCTAGCTTGGGTTAGCTGGTGACCAACTCCAGATTCTCAGCAGTCAATCCATATAGTTCTTGGGTCCATTCAACTGGTCCCGAGGGCTCTCTGCCTTTCTTCAAGGAAAAACCATGGATCGTATCCGACCGGGACTCAAACATGGGCCGGGATGCCCACGGCGCTCATGCGCCCGGGTACTGGCCGCTAGCAGGCCTATCCCTTTCCACCCCTCACTCTAAAGGTACCAGGAGCGGTTGTCGACCCCATCGGTGGGCCAACCTTCAAACTCCTGGCCCTAGATGGGCCATAGGAGTGTTTTTAGCTCCGTATCCCTCTTACCTGTGATGGATCGTGACCCGTTTGGGGAGGAAAAATGTCTGGCGAGTTTTCCGAGGGGACAGCCATAGGTTGCGTGCGTACGCCCCACGGCAAGATGTGGAGATAGGTCATGGCAGGCACGGAGATCTAGGCGGGCTGGTTGGTTTCCTCACACCCGTCACCCCTATAAAACCAAAGGGTTAGCCCTCCGGGTTACATACGTTGCATCCTTGCCTCCGCAGCCACACCGCTGCCATTGCTTAGGTTTCCTGCCTCCGCATCTCCACCGCCATTGAGTCCGCATCCATCCACCCCCACCTCTAATGGATCCGTGGTGCCATTCTGACATCACCTTCCAGCACATGGAGGGCCTCATCCATCGCGGTCTTCTCCGCGTGTAGACCTCGGCCAAGGAGTGGTTGCTGCCCATTGATGAGGATTTGTCGTCACTACCTGATGGATACGTGGTGTCATTCTCCCACTTCGATGAGCATGGGCTTGCGACCCCTGTCCACAAATTCCTTCGGGGGCTGCTGCACTACTATAAGATTGAGGTGTAGCATCTCAATCCCAATGGGATCCAGCACATGGCGGCGTTCGTTGCGCCGTGCAAGGGATTCCTGGGGATCAGCCCCCACTTCGACTTGTGGATGCATTTCTTTGCTGTCAACCTCCAGAAGAAGAGGGAGAAAAGCGGCAGGCAGGAACTGCACATGCCGATGGAGTGCGCCGGCATCCAACTTCGGAACAATTAGGTTGGCGAGTACTTGTCCATGCGGCTCTTGACGTCCAACAAGGGGTGGCACTTGTAGTGGTTCTACCTCAAGAATGACGCCGCCGCCCCTCTGCCGGAGTTCACCGGGCGCATGATCGAAGAGGCCCCGGAGTAGTGGAGGAAGTGGGGCGTCCCGGAGAAGGACAAGAAGAAGATCGGAGACCACATCACCGCCATCCACATCCTAAAGGAGAACGGCCTGAAGAAGTTGGGCGTCATCAGGGCTTACCACGCAAGGAGGGTGGCGCCGTTGATGACGCGCGCGCTCCCGCTATACGCGATGGTGCCCAAGGCGTCATTCGACAGGACGGCGCTCGCCAAGGGAACGCTCCCCAACTCTGAGATCACGCAACGCATCAAGGAGGCGATGGAGCCTTTGCGGGACTACATGGGTGCCACCCTCGACTTTGTCTACCCAGTGTCGGGGCATCCTCCGATGCTGCTAGAGCCAGGCTATGTCATCTTTGTAAGTTTCCCTTTCTATTGCCTTCTCTTCAATTGATTTCCTGACCCCATGATACTAACTTTGAGAGGGGCGAGACCAGCCGAGGGATCTCATCCTCATGGACCACCCGACACCGCTGTCGAGGGATTCGACCGTGAGGACGGTGAATCATGCCGAGGGTGAGCGACTGAGGAAGGTGAAGGAGGACAAGAAGAGGAAGAAGAAGTAG